GGGAGAAACTCAATAAATAAAATCAAGGATAATTAAAGGGCTGTATTCGCTGTATGATGCCACGTCGTGCCTTTCACTGGTATTATTCTTGGCATTTGGCTGTTCAGGGAATGAAGGTCCTCATTACATTCAGGTGTGGGGAAATCTATTCCCCGATCATTTGCACTCCGCTCACAATTCCATTGAGAGGACCTTACAGGAGCTTTCATTATATACAGAGGTTCCAAACAGCCCCGGGTTATTGGTGGCTCACGTTGTGCAAAATCATATTTGAGTGGATCCACTGCAGCATGGCTGCTTGCCTCCCCGCTTGAATTGAAAATTCCTTGTCGTATCACCCAACATTTGATTTGTTGTTTCTCGATTATGTGAGGGCTTCCTGCCTCAAGGAGGAGCATTTTCTAACATCGTTTTTATGAAAAGCAGTGTTTGCATGAGGCTGGAAATGTGACATAATGCCCTTGTAAGTGAAAATGGCATGTATCTGATATCTTCCAGGCAGCTGATAACAAAGGCTTACTGGATGGCTTTGTTTGGGCGATAAGGTGATTATAAGGCTGGCGCAGACCTGTCTGAAAACAATGAATGTTTACGGACAGGACTTGTCATAGCAAGTGTGTGGGAAAAAAAACAAAAAAACCCCAAAGTAGGTTTTTGAGAATGCAGAGGAGGACGAGAGTGGGTTGTTTGCGGAAGGAGAGACAACAGCAAAAGACAAAGGAGTGTGAGAGGAAGGAAAAGAGAGCAACAGAGAGTGTTCTCCTGCACCAGCTTTTTGGACAGCTGCCTGTAGGATGATAGGATTAAAGAGTCCTTTAATATGACCTCTGTGCTCTATTTTGCTATTAACACAACACAGTGTGAGATAGGTCACTCGATACACAACATGCACCATGTAAAGCAAGGCTGTGCCTCACCTATAATGTCTTGTCAAATTGGAGGCAAAGACCTTTTTTGGATTTATCTCACAAATGATGCACTTGCAGCTGTTTTGAGGCCAATTCTATTGCAGCGTCGACACGTCGTCATACATTGTCATACTGCAACGTATTCCCAACCCCGATGCTTTACAATAAGAAGCCACAGCTTTAGTGTCAGCCCCCCCCCCCTGCTCACTGTGTGGCCCTGTAGGAATAGAGAGAATATTGCAATGCTTGAGTTCGAACATAGAGCATGGCAGAAGATAACAGAAAACCCGGGAAGATGCCTCCGTCTCTGTGTGAATAAACTATTCAGGATTTGTTCAAAGTTTAACTGCATCGACGACAAAAAAAGTTGATATGAGAGAATTGGGAAGAATTTGCTCAGTTTCAGTGTCGGGTTACTATATTGCTGCCTCTATTTACTGTTGGTAGCAGTGCTGTGCAGCTCTATGCCTGCACTCCAAGCTATACATCATATAGAGTGTAAGAACTGCGGACTTGAAACTTTTGACCCGAGTCAGACCTAAGGCAGGGACACACATAGTGATTATTTCACCGATAGTCTGACTCACCGGATGAAGACTGTGGTTGCCATTGGCCTCATATTTCAGCTGGCATTCAACTCCGTGTCTGCTGTCGGCAATATCTATTTTGCAAGGCCCTGTCGCTGCATCCTGTGCTTAGCACCACCCAAAACAATTGTGATTGGTTGAAAGAAATAAAAACATTTTTCCCTCCCATACCAGAATGATAATGTGTGGAGCCAGACCTTTTTTCTCTGCAAGACTGTGGTGCCGATGATGATTTGGCATCATAAACATGTTGGACCATCACAGTCTGGACCCGTGGGTGTTGACAGTGTTTGATTCTAATTTGTTATGATAATCATTGGCCTTCTGGTCAAGTCTCTGCCCATTCTTCCCAATAACATTATTTGAAATGAGTCATTTTTACAACTGGAATCGGGACCAAAATGCAGGCAATGCAAATGGTGAAGTGCTAGAGTGCTATGAGTGTGAATTCTTATGAGGATTCATTTATGCTGCATTTTTTGTTCTGGTAAAGCATAGAAACAAACAATTTTTAATGTACGTCCAATTCTGTTTTGGTGCAGGAACAAGGGAGGCTTGCAAGATTGTATTTATGCCTTTATTTTACATGTCCAACAATGTTAAAACTAAACTAGACCCAAAAGAAAAAAAACACAGAAAAAACAGCTGAGGTGAATATATTGGTCTTCTAAGAAAAAAAGAAAACTGTAAAAAAAAGACATGCATTTGCATTATCATGATAGCACACAGACATGTACACGCACTCTCCCTCTCAAATACAGCGGGGACATGCAGGCCAAGTCTGGTGCACAATGACAGCGATGTCAGACTGAAATCTATTTCCAAAACGCAAGCTCATCTAGTCTTATTAACAGTGCTACATTAAAACCATCCACAGGAAGAGATAAGGGTTGATTATTGTATACGTAAGCATGCAGGAAGAACGTACGATACTATTTAATACTACATTTCAAATCTGCTTCCTATCCACCTCCAGCTGTTGTGCGCTCTTCCCATGCTGTCTGAGAGTAATGATTTTTGAAACCCACGCATATGTGCGCACACCCACACACTCGGTCATATGGCTGAGTTAGCTTGACAGATTGTCATCAGAATACCGTAATGGGACTCAAACCCCCCCTACACTCCAAGACACACACGCACACAGCAAAGGAGTGTGTCACTGTGGGGGAGATGATTGACGGGTCTCGAGATGGTGATGGAGACCAATGTGAGCCCTGGACAACGGTCTGAACAGCAGGTAGTCTCAACACAACAAACAAGACTTTGTATTTAGCAACAAAGGTGCGCGTGAGTGTGAGTGTGAGCGCATTCCTTCCTTTATTTTCATGTGAGCACAACTCTTAATAGTTGCAGTGTTACGACAAAGTGACTGTTGAAGTATGATGAGGCAATTTTGAAAACAGCAGCACAGCAATTATACCCTGTATTCACAATTAGAATCACAACTGCCAGTTTAGAAGCAGTTGTGCGAGGCAATACTTTCATGTCAGAATACCACAAAGGGAGGCTGCAACAGAAATGTGTTATATTACCAATCAAGTAAAACTTCCCCCTTTTTACGCAAGTAAAGGTCTTGTCTCATAAAGGAACAGAGAGCAATGACTCATTACGAAAGTGAAATACTTTCTTCTAAAAAAGGAGCTAAATTGTTTTCTCCCCAAAGGAAGGTTGATTCATAGCACATCACAATGCATTTAACGACTTACAGTATTTCCTTACCCCAGGAAAAAACAGTTTTAAGTGTAGTGTAGGGCTGCAACTAAAGATTACTTTTATTATTGATCAATATTTCATTCATTTTTGCAAATCACTCAGGACTATAATATGTGTGAAAACATACCCATCACAATTTACCAGTGTTCATTTAATTTACAACAATAAAATATATGACATCATTCTTTAATTATAGTCTTGTGTGTTTCATTTTACAGTTTTATCAAAAGGTTGATTCTTGTTTGGATCAGATTAAGTTGACAGTGGAGGACGGATATTAAAACTTGTTACTGGAGTCAACCCAACTATTTCTAGTTTACATCGATTAACATTGCAGCGTCCAAAGCCATGAAACCTCCCAGCATCAAACCCATTGATTGCTTGCATTGATGTTGGGGTTACTATGTTTTTACGTCATGTTCTTTTGTACAATATTTCTACTGTTTAGATTTAGAGAGGTGGCATTTATTTCAGCAACCTCAAATCCACCTAAAATGTGGCCATGTCCCACACCATCCTAATTAAAGCACTCCAGTGAAAGTTATAGTGCTTGCAATGAAATGCACTGCAGTTAAATCAGGTGAAGTTGATTTAAATGATAGAGACAGGGAAGGAAGGGAGTGAACTTGCATCTGTCTTGGATGAGTTAACTTGCAAATGTACATCTGTTATAATATGTTTGTGCAGCAGCATTATAAAGTTGACAAGGTCATTCAAACGGCGTTTTATCCTAAAAACATATGTGATGTGGTTATCTGAGCACTATTGTAGTGTGACACTAGTGTTCAGGGTTTTATTAGGAGTACATTTGTATTTCCTTCCCAACTTTTTGTTATTGTAACATCAAAATGATATAAAGGGTACATTTAATACACCTGCATTTCTGATATCAGTGCACACAGTGGAGACTGTTCTTTATAAATATCTTATTTATGGTTATGCAGTCACGTAAAGAGTTGGTCAACAGTAATATATAAATTGTTATCAGAGATAGATGATGATTTGTCATTACATGGGGTCTGATTTCACTGTTGCAATAATTAGTTATTGCCAGTTAATGTGGTCAGATTGTGAGTCACGGTTGTGCTCACAATTGGTGACATTCTCCCCAATTTGAAAACTTAAGGGCACGGCCACACAAAATTCACAATCTTCAAATCGCAGGGTTCAATATTTGTGAACGTTGACCAATAACAAAGAAATCTGTGTGGTTGACACCACTTGCCACTGCCCACGTGGAGTACACATATTGCATCATTCGCCGCATGTGTGACTGTGAGGCCGTCCAGGAGTCTGGGGCTTTGTGGCTTGAGCCTTGGCTTTTCCTGTCCGCATTAGGAAGTGTCTTTGATCAAGACACTAAACCCCAATTTGCTTTCAATTAGTAGACCCAGAGCTTTCATGGGATGGTAACATGAAAATACAGTTACAACTAAAAAAAGAAGATGACGTGTTTTTAAAAGTTGAGTCAAGGTTAACTCGTCAGCTTCAAGTTCAATGTTTGGTTCCAAAGATGATCAAAAACAACAAAGTAACAAACTCAAATCCTAACATTTAAGAAGCTTCTGCTTGTAAATGCTTGCCATTTTTCCTAGAACAATTACTCAAATAATACATTTTTTTATCAACATTGTTGACAATAAACAGTTTGAAAGGGGTTTCATTACATGACCAAAGTTCAATTCAAGCATTTAGCTGCCAAAAGGAGCTGTTAAAGTTTGAAATATTGTAAGGCTTTTATGTTGGACATGGGTGTTTATTTCTATCCTTATCTGTGTGTTTTCTGTAGGTGTTCGGGGGGCGTTGAGGTGATGCATGTCCCCCGGTCATCCCAGTGGAGGAGCCAGCTAACAACGAGTGGCTTTGGCTGCTGAACGCACCCCCTCCCACCATCACCACCCTCATCCCTTCCTCGCTCCCTCCATCTCTGATGGCTCTATGGGGCGTCGTCAGCCTCAGCCTTCACTGCTGGGTGTGTTTACATTCTGCGGTAACAGCAGCAGCGGTAGCAACTGCCAGCCTCCCCAATGACAAGCCTGGGGGCCCCCTGGACTGGCTCCTGTCTGATAAAGGGCCTTTCCACCACTCCCCAGAGTACATTGACTTTCTGGAGAAGAACCGGCAAGGCTTCTCCACCAGATACAAGATATACAGGTGAGTCAGGGCAGCAGGAGGAAGAGGTACATTACACTGTTCACTTCTGCTGTCACTACTCTTATAATGCGCATGGCAAGTCTCCCAGCAGCCGAATCAAACGGTCCCCAATGGTTGTCCTTTAAAAGGATCAGCTGTTTGTAAATAAAGGCCACATACATAACATGATTATATGATGTGTTTGCATATTTAGATTAGTATAACTCACAAAGTCACGAGCCACAGCCTGTACTCAACAGCACTTAGAGCTGTACGATCTGGCTTATTTACCATGAGCAAACAGATCATTGTTGATTTAAAGCATTAGCAAAAACTTTAGTGGTCATATGAAGATGCCAGCAGTCAGTGCTAAAATTGGATCAGTCACTCTAATTTTGTGAGTTAGCATGCTACGTTAGAAGAAGACAGAAATATTAGCTGACAAGATACTACTTTTTGCTAGCACGCTGACATCGCAAACTGATCACATGATCAAACGTATGAGCCATGTCCGTTAAAGGAATAGTTCAACATTTTTTTTAAATACACTAGGCTAATTAGCTTCCCTGCCACTGTTGTGATACAGTAAATATGAAGCTACAGCCTCTAGCCATTTAGCTTTGAAATTGGGATACTAGCATGACCTAGCTCGGTTGAAAGCTAATGGCTATCTGCCTCTAAAGCTCTTTAATTAAGAGGCTCTTTCTTGTTTGTTTAATATCTCATATAAATATTCAGATACACAACCCTGAGTACAACCACAATCATTTACACATTTTTCATATGAATAACACAACTTTAGCATACAGACATATTTCCTAAAAGGTCAAACTATTCCTTTCAATGCAGTTTGCGTGGCTATGACGCAGTTCACAACCACAGCTGTCCAAATGCTGAGGACCTCCAGTATAGTTATCATTGTGTATATGCCAGTATGTTGGGGGTTTAACACTATCAACCTAAGAGTGTCATTCTTGACTGTTGGAGAAGAGAACTGCATGTTAACGCTGACTATTTCATGTAAGTAGCAAACACATATTGACAGTCAGATGTTGCATATTTTGATATCTGAAGTAAGAGAAAAATATAGATGAAGAGAGGTGTCTTTCATAATTAATGTGAACCGGTGAACTTCAGCAACCTCAAGCCCACATGTCCTGACCTGACCCGGCTTTATTAAGGCACTCTACGGGAAACTATAGTGCTTGCAATGAAATGCACTGCAGTTAAATCAGTTGAAGTTAGGTAAATTGATAGAGGCAAGGAAGGGAGTGAACCTCCATCTGTCTTGGTTGAATTAACTGGCAAATGTAAATCAGCTGTAATATGTTGGTGAAGGATCAGATTAAAGTTGAGGACAAGGTCATTCCAAGTGTGTTTTATCCTAACAACACATGTGATGAGGTTATCTCAACCCTATTGTAGTGTGACAGTAGTGTTCACAGCTGCAGCTGCAGAGGGTCTTTATCAGTATTACATTTGCTTTTCCTTCCTAACTTTTCCATTGTAACATCAAAATGATATAAGGAAGAATATAATACAACTGCATTTTGTGATATTAGTTCACACAGTGGACAATATGCTTCATGAAAACCCAATTCATAGTTATTCAGGCAGATATTATTCGGCCTGCTTGTCATGCAGAAAAGGTTTCTCACAGTCGATGTTCACAAGATATCTAGCACCATGTCGAGACAGAATCATCATGATGTCTTTAATGTGGGCACGTTGCTATCTGCTGGCTGTGCATCACATTCGGCTGTCTTCCAAACCCTCAGGGGGTCACCTGATCGGGTGGTCAACTGAAATATGTTGATTAGCACTGGGAAAAAATGATGATTTGTCGTGACAGCAACATGGTGTGAGGTATCGGCGTGCGACCGAATTAGTGGAGATTGTGTTATGAATCATATCCGTCGTCATTTAGGAGGATGTTGTGATCGTTTGCAGCTTTGGAGCTTTTTAATATTTCCTTCTCTGGCAAAAAGGCAGCCATTCGTTGGAGCTGAGCTGCATAGGCGGCAAGATTAATAGTCTTATCATGTGGCCAAGTGATTAGTGAGCTCTTAGTACTTATTACTCTGCATTATCACAGAATCCCCTGAGAGGCTTCTGTCAGCTGCAAGGTTGTGTTTGAGGCTCTCTAGATTACCACAATGTGGCATTGATTAATAGAGATGATATTAAAAGGAAAAACTAACCTAAAAAGTAAATAGCTTGTAAATCTTTCTAAATTGAATTCACTTGGATTGAGTCCCATTCAATTTCAGTAAGAAATCTAAAGAAAACAGGAGGGATACAGCTGTGGGTATAAGCCTGTGTATCTTTCTGTTTCGGCAAATTATAGCTCTCTTGCAATGCCCGTCATCGTGGGGTGAAATATGGTGATGGTTTTGGGGGCTCACACCTGGAACTGGCTCATAGAGAAAGTGTGCCCACTGCAATATTCTCCCAAGGGCCCCAAACGTATCTGCTGTTTAACAGAAGTTCTCACGTTTTTAAATCAAGCTATAACCCTTGTGTACAAACAAAAGTAGGAAGTGAATCTATGTGGCAGCGATTCTCAACCTCTCTGTCTCACCACAGGTACAAACTGGGTCTGATAGTGACACATCGGTATTTGGTTGAACTCCTCACAGCTCAGGCTGTTTCATTTGAATAATAGCAGAACGATACGTTTCTACTTTTCTACTAATTTAGAACGTTTAAAGAATAAATAAATAAATGTTACTTTGGTTAATTATTCAACAAAATCACTGATATCTTTTAGTATTTCTCAAGAAACTTAAATCTACAAGGTGCTGTACAGACAGTGGACGCATTGATGGGATAAAGTAAGCAATTTGATAGACTTAAACTAGCTACACTAAATTAAAGGATTTAGAAGTTTATATGGAGCTTTTTCCCAGCATGAAATCTTTAAATTGAAGTTGCATTTAATTGGGTCTCATATCCAGATTGTATCTAGATATAATTTAACCTGATAAAATGTATGCCTGGTATTAATGAGTCTCCTGTCCCCATTATAATCTGATTAGGATCTCACCGCTATGTCCAACTCAAACAACGCAATGTCACATGGTCTCGTTCCTCGCTGGTTTTGAAATGTCGAGCGTGATCACGTATTTCCATCCACCTAGTTGTTGTACGTTGATTGTAAATGCAACTGCATTTACACTTGTGTTCAATGTGGTCACATCCAGACCAGATGTTTTGGGTGCATTCTTCTTAATGCATTATCTGATTGCAATCCGATCACCTAAAAGGCCTTTTGAGGTGTAAAGGGGGTAAGAGTTCCTGAAGCTGCTGTCAAGTAATTGCTTTATATCTAAAACTCACTTAAAACGACTGCAGAAAATATCTCTGGGGGGTTTAGGAATGAGTAAATTACAGTACAGATAGTGTCACTGTGTCAATAGTCATTACTGTGCATCAACACGTAATTAATTCAAACAAGGAGTATCTGCAATTAGTTTATTCGGCAAATCGTAGCATGTAGGACACGCCCACCCGCTGAGTTTAACTTGATCAAAGGAAAGTTGCTTCCTGTTGGATGTAAGAGCCACTTCAAGCACGATGAACAACAGCAGATTTCCTAAACCACGGGGGAGTCTGCAGGTGCTCTGGAGGGGGTTGAGGGGAGTGTTTTAGAGCAAACTCCCTCAGCGCTGCTTCTCAGCATCCCACAGCTACATGATTACTGATGTTCTTTGCCTTGTCTCCTCACCTCTCTCAGAGGGTTTTGGCAAGTAGCTCCTTGTGGTTAATAAGCTGGTCAATGAACGGCAATACATTGTAGTTTTTCATCCGCTTTTCCTCATCTGCTATTTAATACATCAGAATAAAAACTATTGAGCTTTGCACGATTCATAAGACACATTAGACACTTTCCCTTGAATCAGCCCCATTAATTGCTCAGCTTTTACTTTAGCTTTTACTGTTATTTAATTTGTTAATACGGCAGGCAGCTGAAGGCAATTTCTCTCTAGTTAAGCTGTCTTTCTAAAGTTTTATTCAATAAAGAGAGTGAAAGTGTAAAACGAGGGGTGAGGGAAGTCTCATTAATGGTTCCCCTTTTTATCCTCACTTCAGGTTTTTAGACACATTAGCAGTATGGATGGATGGCAGTGTCAGCCTGCGAGATGGTCTATCAATTTGGTCCAGACTGAAATATCTCAACAAATATATATTGCTATTACATTTTATACAGACGTTCATTGTACCCACAGAGTTAATCCATACTGACTTTAGTGATCTGCTGACTTTTCTCCTAGCACCACCATACGGTTGTGATTCGTGGTTTTGAGTGAAATGCGTCGACATAGAGTATATTAGATGGATTGCCATGAAATTTCATTCCACTATTGATTTCACTTTGATATTTTCTTAAATTGCTATAGAGCACCGTAATTTTAATTCGTCCAATATGTTGATTTATGACCAAATACATGCAAAACGAATGACCTTCCCATCAGCCTGATGCACTTAGCAAATGTTAGCATGCTCATACACTAAACTAAAACGGTGGTTAACATCATACCTGCTAAACATTAACCTTTTAGCCTTGTGATCACAGCATGCTGATTTTAGCTTACTTGCTGACTTAATGCCAAAAATCAAAAAACGACTGTTTATATTAGCTGATTTTTGCTTACTCTGACACATAACAATATTCACACAGACTGTCACATCATTGATGAGGTTTAGATTTGGACGAAACTGGTATGAATGGCCGTGTGACTGCAGATTTAGATGAAAAAAAAGTAAATAAATAAATTAAAATACAAAGCTTTTCTGGCCCACATTATGTTATAAACTACAGTAATGGAGCCAACAACAGGTATGAAGACAAAAATGTAGCACCTGGTTACTACAACTGGTTTCTATGCTGTACACTGCATGTTGTATTTCTCAGAATCGGAGGAACTCAAATCAAAAAGTGTTAGTGGCCATTGCTCAGATCAAACAAAAGTAAGGTGGACAGATTCATCCTAAGCTTGTTTTTGTTGTAAAAGATCATT